TGGAGAAGGTTTATACATCAGCAAAAACAAGACTGGGAGCTGATTATGACTCAGATCATGAACTCTTTATTGCAAAATTCAGACTTCGATTGAAGAAAGTAGGGGAAACCACTAGGCCATTGAGGTATGATGTAAAGTAAATCCCTTGTTGTTATACAGTGGAAATGAGAAATATGTTCAAGGGATAAGATCTGATAGAGTGCCTGAAGAACTATGGACAGAGGTTCGGAACATTGTACTCGAGGTGATGATCAAAATCATCCCCAAGGAAAAGAAATTCAAAAAGGCAAAATGATATCTGAGGAGGCCTTACAGATAGCTGAGAAAAGAAGAGAAGTGAAAGGCAAAGGAGAAAAGGAAAGATATGCCCAACTGAATGCAGTTTTCCAGAGAATATCAAGTAGAGATATGAAAGTATTCTTATGTGACCAAACCAAAAAGTAGAGGAAAATGATAGAATGGAATAAACTAGAGATCTCTTCAACATAATTGGAGATGTCCAGGGAACATTTCATGCAAAGATGGGCACAATAAAGGACAGAAATGGTAAAGACCTAACAGAAAAGAAGATATTAAGAAGATGTGGCAAGAATAAATAGAATTATACAAAAAAGCTCTAATGATCCAGATAACCACGATGATATGGTCATTCACCTAGAGTCAGATTTTGGAGTGTGAAGTCAAGTGGGCCTTAGAAAGGATTGGAATGATCCATGCTAATGGAGGTGATTTTTTTTTTTTTAAATATTGATTTTATTAATTCATTAAAAAATAACAGAATTAATGAAAATAAACCCATTACATGTTAACATAATTAACAAATCTTTATGAAAAAATTTTAAACCAAGAAATAATATTGATAAAAATGGCATTTTATATCTTTGCATATCTTTTTAGCATCTAGCTTAGTAGACAACTTGATTTTTATATTTGATTCTGCATTTAATCTGTTACAATGTGCTATTTTGTTGAAGTGTTTAAATATAAAGTCTGGCTTTGCTCAGAGGCATAGTTGGAAAATGGAGAAATATTTTAATTGTTTTTTAGATAATTATAGGTGTGCTTGATATTACATTAAAACTTGACATGTGGAATAGGGAAGCATATCAATGAACTTTTCATATTTTATTACATGTAACTCATTTGGTCTAACTTTTTACCCATGCATGATTTTGTAACATCATACATTGCTCTCTGAAAAAAAATTAGGTCACTGAGTTATGCTGACCTTCCAAATGTTAGCACATTACATTCTATAATATAAAAGTTGGTGATTTAATGCTAATGGAGGTGGTGGAATTCCAGCTGAACTACTTCAAATCCCAAAAGATAATGCTATTATAATGCTACACTCGATGTGCCAGCAGATTTGGAAAACTCAGCAGTGGTCACAGGACTTGAAAAATCAATTATGATTCCAATCCCAAAGAAAGGCAATGCCAAAGAACATTCAAAGTACTACATAATTGCTCTCATTTCACATGCTAGCAAAGTAATGCTCAAAATCCTTCAAACTAGGCTTCAACAGTACATGAACTGAGAACTTCCAGATATACAAGTTGGATTTAGAAAAGGCAGAGGAACCAAAAATCAAATTACCAATATCCGTTGGATCATAGAAGAAGCAAGAGAATTCCAAAAAATAAAAAAAAAATCTGCTTCACTGACTACTCTAATATTCCTCTGCGTTTACTGTTTCTTCTGATCCTCTGTGAATCACAAGAAGCCATGAAAAATTCTTAATGAGATGGGAGTACTAGACCATCATACCTGCCTCCTGAGAAACCTGTATGCAGGCCAAGAAGCAACAGTTCGAACCAGACTTGGAACAATGGACTGGTTCAAAATTGGGAAAGGAGTACATCATGACTGTATATTATCACCCTGCTTATTTAATTTATATGCAGATTACATCATGTGAAATGCTGTGCTGAATGAAGCAGAAGCTGAATCAAGATTGCTGGGAGAAATATCAACAACTTAGGATAAGAAGATCATACCACTCTAATGGCAGAAAGTTAACAGGAACTAAAGAGTCTGTTGATGAAGGTGAAAGAGGAGGGTAAAAAATCTGGCTTCAAACTCAACATTCAAAAAATGAAGATCATGACATTCAGTCTAATCACTTCTTTCAAATAGATGGGGAGAAAATAGAAACAGTGACAGACTTTATTTTCTTGGTCTCCAAAAATCACTGCAGCTACTGACTGCAGCCATGAAATTAAAAGATGCTTCCTCCTTGGAAGAAAAGCAGTGAGAAACCTAGATAGCTTATTAAAAATCAGAGACGTTAATTTGCCAACAAAGGTCCATATAGTCAAAGTTATGCGTTTTCCAGTAGTCATGTATGGATGTGAGAGTCGGACCAGAAAGAAGGATGAGCACCAAAGAATTGTTGCTTTTGAACTGTGGTGTTGTAGGCAAAACACTCTCCAACATGAATCACAGCAGGATCCTCTATGATCCACCTCCTAGAATATTGGAAATAAAAGCAAAAATAAACAAATGGGACCGAATGAAACTTAAAAGCTTTTGCACAACAAAGGAAACTATAAGCAAGGTGAAAAGACAGCCCTCAGATTGGGAGAAAATAATAGCAAATGAAGCAACAGACAAAGGATTAATCTCAAAAATATACAAGCAACTCCTCCAGCTCAACTCCAGAAAAATAAATGACCCAATCAAAAAATGGGCCAAAGAACTCAACAGACATTTCTCCAAGGAAGACATACAGATGGCTAACAAACACATGAAAAGATGCTCAACATCACTCATTATCAGAGAAATGCAAATCAAAACCACAATGAGGTACCATTACACGCCAGTCAGGATGGCTGCTATCCAAAAGTCTACAAGCAATAAATGCTGGAGAGGGTGTGGAGAAAAGGGAACCCTCTTACACTGTTGGTGGGAATGCAAATTAGTACAGCCACTATGGAAAACAGTGTGGAGATTTCTTAAAAAGCTGGAAATAGAACTGCCATATGACCCAGCAATCCCACTTCTGGGCATACACACCGAGGAAACCAGATCTGAAAGAGACACGTGCACCCCAATGTTCATCGCAGCACTGTTTATAATAGCCAGGACATGGAAGCAACCTAGATGCCCATCAGCAGACGAATGGATGAGGAAGCTGTGGTACATATACACCATGGAATATTACTCAGCCATTAAAAAGAATTCATTTGAATCAGTTCTAATGAGATGGATGAAACTGGAGCCCATTATACAGAGCGAAGTAAGCCAGAAAGATAAAGACCATTACAGTATACTAACACATATATATGGAATTTAGAAAGATGGTAACGATAACCCTATATGCAAAACAGAAAAAGAGACACAGATGTATAGAACAGACTTTTGGACTCTGTGGGAGAAGGCGAGGGTGGGATGTTTCAAGAGAACAGCATCGAAACATGTATATTATCTAGGGTGAAACAGATCACCAGCCCAGGTTGGATGCATGAGACAAGTGCTCGGGCCTGGTGCACTGGGAAGACCCAGAGGGATCGGGTGGAGAGGGAGGTGGGAGGGGGGGTTGGGATGGGGAATACATATAACTCCATGGCTGATTCATGTCAATGTATGACAAAACCCACTACAATATTGTAAAGTAATTAACCTCCAACTAATAAAAATAAATGAAAAAAAAATAAATAAATGACTGATGGTTAAGCTGAAGCTCCAATACACTGGCCACCTGATGGAAGAACCAACTCATTGGAAAAAACCCTGGTGCCTGGAAAGGTTGAGGGCAGGAAGAGCAGAGGGAGAGAGGATGAGATGGTTGGATGGCATCATGGACTCAAAGGACATGAGTTCCAGCAAACTCTGGGAGATAGTGAGGGAACATGGCGGCTTGGCATGCTGCAGTTCACAGGACCTCAGAGTCAGACGTGACTTACTGACCGAACAACAGCATCTTGGCTCCTACACCTCGTCACAGGAACCTGGCTCTGTGTCCAGGCTGTCTGCCTGAGGACGCACTCATCTCAATACAGTGCGTTGCTTCCTGACACAGAGCCTTGAGGGATGCACATGGGCCTAAGGAGTCAGCTTAAGTATTCCTCTTCATCCTGCATGTAACCAGTCCTGTCTCCTCAGATTCCTTCTATCCCCTTGAGTATGTTTCTTCATTTCTTAAAGTGGAATATACTTTTTTCTTTCTGCCTCACAGTGATATCTGAATCACTACTTTGTACAAAGTATTTCAAAAGAATGGTACAATTGTAAGCTGTTTTAAAACATGAAGTGCAAAAAAAAAAAAAAAATGAAGTCCTTAATATTAGCTAAAATCCCTTTAAGCTTTATGTGCAACCATTCTAGTGAATTCTAGCTTTATGGAGGCCCTGCCCTTTGAAGACAGTTTTTCAGTCAACCAAATTCTTGGTGAAAGAAAAGTGGTGCTTTTCATGGGATATATCCAAAGGTTTGGAGCCAGAAAGAGGCAAACTGGAGTTCCTGTTCTTTGCTTTTCAGAAGGTAGTTTATTCTCCTGGAACTGTAATTTCTCCAATTGTAAAAAGAACTATAGTTAGGATATAGTCACATCATTGATTCAACAGCTATTTATGGATTTCCTACTACAAGTCCAATCCTGTGCTGATAGGTACTGAGGACTCAGGGATGAGCAAAATTGACATAGTCTCTGCTCTCATGGAAACTGGTTTAACAGGGAAAATGAAACAATTATAAGCAGACATGGAAAAAGAAAAGTTATGTGTAAGTTGCGTGGCAAGAAGTAGGTAGTTAGAAACATGGAATTACTGTTTGGCACAGGGCCAAGCATTTCATTCATTTGTTTCTCAGAGGTTTAAGAATTCTGAGGATCTCAGGAGGATGACATTATTTTGAAATACTTGGAATCCTCTTATTTATGCTATTGCAGGCCCTGCCAGACATGATGGCTGGTTTCCCACAGAAAATGATAAGTTGGCCCTGAAATATACCTCGTCCCCATCCCTCTGCATACTCTTCAGTCCTGAGACCTCACTCACATTTTTGTTTCTCTCCTGATTGGGCTCTTCTGGAGCAAGCTCTCCAATGAGCAGTGGTTTAAGGTACAACTGCACAATGTCAGGGTCTGGATGCATGGCTCTGAAGACGTCCTGTGAATCAGAGAGAACTGTTAGAGACTTAAGAAAGGCATGCTTACACAGATATCTCCCCTTTGTTATTTCATTCTGTACCGACCTTAGGAATCAGCACAGGCTATGTTATAGAGCATTTACTTCTAACTCTAGGTTGACATTTATCCTTGAAATTCCTCTACAAAAGTCTCACAATGGTGATCGACCCACTGAGTGCATGGCTTACTACTAGGCAAGTCCTGGGTAGAAACTTGATCCCCAAGCATTGGAAGAGATCATTGTTTATTTTATTTTATTTTTATTTTTTTTCCATTTATTTTTATTAGTTGGAGGCTAATTACTTTACATTATTGTAGTGGTTTTTGTCATACATTGAAATGAATTAGCCATGGATTTACATGTATTCCCCATCCCGGTCCCCCCTCCCACCTCCCTCTCCA